TGCGTTCCTTCTCGGACAAAGCCACCGAGGGCACGGAGAGCCACGGAAGCCACGGACAAAGCCATGGAGCCACGGAGGATTCGGTGCGGGCAGGTAACGCGAACAGGTGCCTTGTATTAGCAAGCCTTCCGTGGCTTTGTCCGAGAAGGAACGCAGGTTCCTCGAAGGATTCGGTGCGGGCAGGTAGCTTTACCTTTCTGTTTCGGTTTCTTCTAGGTTTTTCTCTTCTGTTTTTCAGTGCCTTTGTATTTGTGTTGTTTGTTTTTGGTTTTCTTACTCATGTTCTGCTCTTGTGCCATATGGTTTTTATCACACGGTCACTGTCTCCTCTATATATTTTCGTGCTCTGCGCAATAAACTCAGTTGGAAGTTAGCGCTCGTGTCTTTCGTGTCCTTCTTGTCTCTGTGTCGTCGTTTTGTTCTCGCGCTATAACTATCGTCATGCCATACCAACTAGCCCAAGCTGCCACACTTCTAAGTTACATTTCTAGTTATTCGGGCTCTTTTTCGTGTGTTTCTCTTCATCATTCAGTCCTCGTAACCCTCATCGCAGTCTTCATTTGCCGTGCGCGCACCTTTTCCTTTTGCATTCGCACCAAGCAACTCCCTTTGGACGTTAAAGCCTTGTTTGGAGGTTACCACCCCTCTATCGGCCATAGCATACGGGTGTGCAAAATTCTTCGGTCTGAATGGCACCGACAAGAGCGCACGCGCCGGGACGCCCTGCATGTCCACCTTCAACTGACATATCTAACACCGGGAGTGAAGAAAAGAAGATGGCGAGAGTACTGCGACCAAATCGAGTACACTGCAAACCGCCTGTGGTCACGTGAGCTCGCCAGCCTTCGTGCGCAGCGCCCAACTAAGCCTCGGCAATCAGGTGTCGTCCACTCATGCAGTGACGTCGTCCTCCCAGACTACGTCCACAACACCCTCGTTCTAGGTCCGAAGTTCGCCGTCGACCGAGCGAGGTCCGCACCCGAGCTTCTTTCAATGGTGCGCTCTGTGGCTGGCCGTGCTTCACCTGAGGATTCAGACAGGTGCATCTCAGAAGGCGTCGACGTGCTCCTACGGGGTAAGCCTACCAGCAACAGCCTTCCGGTGCGGAAGACGACCAAGTTTCTTAGAGACAATGAACTTTGTGTCGTGCCGTCAGATAAGGAGGGTGGTTTCGCCGTTTTCCCTAATTGCTTGTACCTGGAAAACGCGGTCACAGCTATCGAATCTGTTTTCAAATGTTGTACTGACATTCGTCTAGATAGGGTAAAAACGCAGGCCAGGGAAATGTGTCGTAAACTAGAATTAAAACAGTTAGCACAGCACATTAGCAAAAGTGACAAAAATGGGCTCAGCATGTTTTTTTCTGCCAAAACACATAAGGTTGACATGCCCTTCCGGGTCATTGTGACAGAAAGTGGTACGTGGCAAAAGCAACTCGGCTTGTTTATTCAGACCAATCTAAAGTGTCTAAAGATTGACGACCCATTTGTGATCAAAAACTCGCAGGCTCTGATAGAATTTTTCAAACAGTCAAATCAATCTAATCTTTTCAGTTTTTCAATTGACATAAAGGACCTATACTACTCTCTGCCTCACGATGAGGTACTAGAATGTATAAGGGATAACATAGCAATTTTCGGGGAATTGAACTTCCAATTAAAAACTGGCATTAGTTCGCGAGATTTTCTTGACCTGGTTTTGCTGTATCTTACGTCTACTTTCGTTCAATGAAATGATTGCATTTATCTGCAGAAGAAGGGTGTTTCAATTGGTTCAGGCATCGCACCTCTACTCAGTGATCTTCTATTGGCAAAAATGGGCAAACAACTGCAGGAAAAGCTAGAAGGCTTGCATGTCGTCAAATTATTTAGATACGTGGATGATTTCTTGGTTATTCTAAATTGTAAGTCTTCTATGTTTCACTCGTTGGCCACTCAATTTATAGGTGTGTTCGAAAATTGTTTGAAGCCTCTTGTGGTGACACATGAAATGCCCGATAATGACAAATTACGCTTTTTGGATTTAAATCTGGTTTTTAGCTCACAGCACATCTGTTGGTGTTATGAACCACGTGCGCAGAAACCTCTACTTCCCTTTTCTTCTGCTCACAGTAAAATAAATAAGCGAGGCATAGCACGAACCTGCCTTGAGAATGCTTTAAATAGGTCGTGCGCCCACAATATCTCTGCGAGCTTCAAAGCTCAAGTTTCCCGCCTTAAGGCTTCAGGTTTCCCCGAGGCGTTTATCGCGTCTGTTGCGGAGACGATCCTGCGGACTAATAAGGCACAGCAGAGGACGTGACAGAATCTGAACAACACGGATACAGAACGTGAAAGGATAGCCGTGATTCCATACATACACCAAATATCACATAGGCTCAAAAAAATCGGAAAACGTGTTGGAGTCCGTGTCCTGTTCTCAGCACCGTTCAAATTAATCAGCCTCTCCAAATCTACCAAGCCCCTGAAAACGAAATCATCAACAGATTGCAGAGTTCAACATCGAAACAGGTAGGCGGCCTGCTCCCGGGGAAGTCGTCTATAGGACCCCCCTTTCATGTGGTGCTTGTTATGTCGGAACGACCGGAAGGTGTCTGAACGATCGGCTGAGAGAGCACGCGAACAATGTTAAAAACGGGAAAGATGGTTTTCTTTCCCAGCACTGCACTGAGTGCAAGTGTGTTCCCCTCTTCGAGGAAACAGCGACGTTGTACAAACACAGAGATGTAAGCACCCGGGTCATTGTCGAGGCTGCGCAGATGGCACGCGAACAGGTGCCTTGTGTTAGCAAGCCCTCCGTGGCTTTGTCCGAGAAGGAACGCAGGTTCCTCGAAGGATTCGGTGCGGGCAGGTAGCTTTACCTTTCTGTTTCGGTTTCTTCTAGGTTTTTTCTTTGCTGTTTTTCAGTGCCTTTGTATTTGTGTTGTTTGTTTTTGGTTTTCTTACTCATGTTCTGCTCTTGTGCCATATGGTTTTTATCACATGGTCACTGTCTCCTCTATACATTTCGTGCTCTGCGCAATAAACTCAGTTGGAAGTTAGCGCTCGTGTCTTTCGTGTCCTTCTTGTCTCTGTGTCGTCGTTTTGTTCTCGCGCTATAACTATCGTCATGCCATACCAACTAGCCCAAGCTGCCACACTTCTAAGCTCCAAAAGCGTTCGGCACTGTATCTACAAATGATGCTAGACAGCTTGGAATGTTTCAAATTCGGAGCAGTTACTTTTAATTTTTTTTTCCGCAAGTATCTATATGACATAACTTGCTAACATTGAAATATTCAAATAGACACGACGCAGCGTGTCGTTCAGGTCGGTTTGTTGATTTCTGCGACCATGCAATACTTTTCCAAGTAATCGTCCAATTGCTTCATTGAAAGAGATTATTGCCACGCGAGTCAACTGCTGAAAACGTTGTTAGAATTCATCAAGTACGAGCATAGTTACAGGAGCTTGCCACACGCTTCAAATTGTCCTTTCGCAACAGCGAAAGTGCTCGAAGCTACGCAGAGAGAGGAATGCCAATTGGGAAAGAAGATGCGTCCCTTTGTCAGCGTGCGTCCCGAGTTGGAGTGCTTTCTTTTCTTCGAACGCGTGGCTAGCTTTCAGCGTGATCGTGAGCAGGCTTGCGTGCACGTTACGGCATCCCGTGGTGACTGTGGTACCTATGCAGCTCACGATACGGAAATCAGTCAGTGACCGAGTACTTTGGGTTGATGGCATCGCTTCTTCAGAGAAGAGGGAACGGTATCCAGCTTATGTCGTTAATTTCCCATCCGTACTGTGCTATAATGTTTGGCTCACGTGTTCTCAGAAGAATCGACTACCAATCGGCAGCGTTTTCTGGTTATCCTAAAAAGAACTTAAAGCGGTAACCTCCTCTCAAGTTTCTTAGTAGCCTTCTGAATCCCCAAAGGACAATTTAGGCAAAATTGGTTCCGCACTCGATCGCTGCACCACAAACTCTGCTGGCAATGCCGGAGCTGTGACCAAGACTGCTTTTACTTGCACAGCGTTTATGCCCATCTCGGGAAGAGGGACGTGTTCTTTTAGTGTACCTGAAGCATGTAGCTAGCTCGATCACCTGGTACCGTGCCCGTGTCTTCAAGGTGTGGATTTTTATCCCGGCTTCTCTGAGATATCTGGTATATGAATGCAGAAGCACATTCACCAGATGTCACATGGTTGGTTAGTTAGGTTTATAGGTTTTAACGTTCAAAAGAAACTCTGACACACATTGAAATCCCACAGTACACTGCCCTCAAACATTTAGACACTATAAATATCAAACTATCACCGCTGAGTACTAATCAACCTCTTTCTCCTCAGTAGCCAGCTTGTGTAGCCACTGAGCCACCATTGGGCTGTTATGTCATGGTTGTTGTGGTGATTGACTGATCAGCCAAGTTAGTGTAGAGGTTGGACTTCTCATTGAACAAATGTGCGGCCTTCAAAGGTAACAGTGAGCATTGTCATCGGTCGTTGGTGATATCAGCGCCGGATGAAAATCATCAGCCATTGATACACGAGTCACGCTACACTCCAGCACTATCACTGGCGGTGGCGTGCGTGCTATAATTCTCGCTCAAAAACGTCTGCTGTCGGGGCAGTTGGTGCACTGCTGAAAAGAAATTCATTGGCGCAGAACTGAGTACAACTGAGTAATCTTAGTAGATATAATACATACCGTTAATTCTGGACACGTTAAGACGCTGCTTGTACCGAACAATAGGCAATATATGTAACTGTATTTGTTGATAAAAACGAAAAGCAAATACGCATGCCAGTGCTGTTAAACGCCAAACAAATTGCTTTATATGTGAGAGGTATGGCGGACTATACACTCTCACTTGTGATACTGGGTTTCTTTAAAGAGCCACACTACGCAGTATTAATTTTTTTCAAAACCACTTATTCGATCCCATTTTCTAGATTTAATATGCAGCAGGTTCGGCTAGTTATTTTACTGTAGCGAATGATTCAATTAAAGAAAAAAAGACTCACAATTTGGAAGTGGTGATTCTCTATGCGTTGTCTAATCGTCCAGGCCTTGTAAAATACGAAGTACGCGTGCACCAAATATATTGAATAAGACATCTTCCCGAGTGGAACCAAGGCATCCCAGGATAGCAGTGAGTCGATCACGCCTGCAAATCACATGACAAGTTACTCATTGAAAGGGTAATTACCAAGTAATAATCAGAAATATTCATTCATAGTATTCACGCATACTAATTTCTGAGACAACGTAAACATACAGATTGTGTCTGATTGCTTTAAATATATCAATTTCGAGCAACCATCCTTTATTTAGTATATGAGGCGATGGCGAAATTATCGGTTATTGCACATAGGCTGGGCGCCTAGCGCCTGCCAGTAGCTGGTTTAGAAGGGCAGAATAGCAATCTAATCACTGGAACAAGAATAGGCGACCATATATGTGATGTCAGCTTGTGATTTTAAGTCGCAGTTTACGAGTATGAGTGAAAGTAGTGGATATTGAACGGCCCGTTTTTTTTTTTTTTTTTGTTAAGCCCAATAATGTTGAGAACTAAAAGAAAATGATGCAAAAAAATAGAGGTTGTTATACTAAAATCTAATGAAAATGTGAAGAAATAAAAGTGAACAAAACAATCACTCCCCGCTGGCAGGGACCAAACTGACGACCTCCAAATAAAACACTCGATGCCCTACAAACTGACGTATACAGCGGTGTGGATCCCCCCATCCCCCCGTCAGCTTATGAGGTATATCTGTGCACTGAAACGTAGGATTGTTCGCGCCGCTAATAGCCCTGACGGCGGTTGTGAAATGCTCTATCTCTGCCCGTCGGCGCCCTGTTGTATACGTGACGGCACCAGGGGAGTGTGTGCCGCACGTCAAAAAACGTTCAACCATCGCTCAATGCCTTCTCGCTTGTACAAACCCGTTTCATTATTGATACTCCCCCCGAGCAAAAGCAGTATTCAATGCACCATTCCATAATATTCCCGCTTGTCTAAGAAATTTTTGAAACTTCTTATTGATACACTCGATGCGAAAATCACAGTATGCTATTCCTGTCTAAGAGAAGATCGTTAGTTAAGCTTCCTGTACAAAAGTTTTTTTCGAGCACGCTTTCACTTCGCGAAATATACAAGGTATATCGTGAGCGTTATTTGTGGTATGCGCCGTAAAATTTCGTTGGACTGCGGGGCACATGGGCGACACAATGCGGATAGGGTATATCTTGATGTGTTTTAGGCACAGGCGTGAATGTTTTTACTTCATTTCTCATTGTGTTTATGTTATCCTGATGTAGTAAAATAAACAATTGGACACTCTTGTATTCTGCCATGTGGTTGTTCCTACGTCGTACTTTGTTTCATATGGTTCGTGACAGCCTCAGAATAAGTTCAGGCTCAACTCATAAGGCCACCTTGCACTTATTTGCTTACGCCATGTTTGTACTTGACGCTGGGGAAACTATGAAAGCGATGAAGCGTTGCAATACACTCCGAGCTGCTGCTGCTGCTTCGGTGCACCATCGAACATGGCGAAATCACAAACTTCAACAGCATCGAATAAGGACCACCGAAGAAGATGCTGTGTACGTGTAGAGAAGAATTCATTTTTTGTTGGTTTCTGAGCTTGCACCGAATATACTATACCCCAGTGAAAATTTTCATCAGGTGCATTAGCACCTGATATAATGCTGCTATGATGCCCGCTACTTGTAGCTTCGCTGTTTGAAAGGCGTGTCAGTATAGATAACCGAGGAAGCGTGCTCGGGAGGGTTTCAGTAGCACTTTAATACCCGGGTCAATAGGCAAGTTAAGCGTACTTACGGAGAGTACATTTAGGCTAAACTGCGCTTCATCAAGTCTAAACGATGCAAGTGGTGATTTACTAGCAGATGTAGGTACTAAGGTCGGAGTGCATTGTGTACGCACTTTGGTGCTTTTCAGTCGGCATTCACTCTCAACGCTTGTATGAAAAACAGCTGCACTGTTTTTTTGTTACAACAAAATAACATTGTTTTAGTAGCAAGGCTGTTTGGGAAATCGTGCCCTATGAGTTGATCGTAGAAAATCATCCTAACTTTATTGGGTATGTGCCGTTGCACTGCCTACCAAAATCCTATCATTATTATGAATGAGTACGCTCCACATAAAAAGGCTAAACCCAACTACTTTTCACTGATCCACTAAAAATTAAGCCGGTGAAGTTACAACAGAGCCGGGTCTGTGTCTGTCTGTGGCATAACTGGAACCTATATGCTTTAAAAATGAGCGTTTAAACAAGCAAGCATCGCATAACTAAAGCCTAACAGCTACCCAGAAGCAACAACACCAGTTATCAGAACCATTTAGCTTCGCTCCTTCAAGCCTTGCGTGGCTCAGTCCTAGCTTAGCCTATTTTCCAATGAATGGTTCAACGTATAGTTTCAATAATTTAAGTGAGGATCATATTAGGGAGCTGGGCTGCCGTTTGCTGTGATATTCTGTTGTCGTCACTTGGAGCAATGCAGGCGAAACCACATGTATAGCATATATTCACCTGAGCGGGTGATCGCGTCAGAGGTGTTCTTCCTCTTGTTCTTTAAACACGTTGATTGTGATAACAACGCAGGCAGAGCGACATTGAGCGTATCGATCTGTAGCAGGTTGAGAACATGCTCGCGCAATGGAGATGTATTTTTATTCTTGTTCTTCGGGCGGCTTCATGGTGATAATAAGTGCTGAGTACTTAAGGGGCCAAACAGGCCGACAAAACCACGCATAAAAAGTAAAAAAAAATAATAAAGAAACGAGTGATAGAACGACAGAGAAAAAATAAATAGGAAAAATAATCGAACTAAACTAAAATAAAAAAGGAAAACATAATAAACGAGAATAGACTACAAAAACGAAAGAGAACAAAAAACAAAGACTGCCCAGTTCCATACTTCCTGTAGGCTTGGCACCACTATATAGTGTGAAGCTGCCTTAATTGTTTTTTATTTCTATTTCATCTCTCGCGCGCAAGAGATAGCCTTTCGCATGCTACAAACGATATCGTACACATCCCGGGGCCGACACAGCCGTTACAACTCGGAAATGTATCCACACGGCCAAGACTGAAGAGAAGTGTACTGTTCACTCGCACACATACTCTCGCAATGTCCCGCGCTACCTCAGGGGCCTCTCACCAGTGAGTCCGACTGGGAAGAGGCACTCAGGAGCCTCACGCTATAACGCCAACTAAAGACGTCCAGAGGGCCAAAGAACTGGCGGAACGTCACCACGTTCCCGCTCCGGCTCGAGAATCGCCGGGGCGGCTGCTAGGATGTCCCTCGTGAGCACCCTGGTGGTTTAAACTCCTCCAGATATTTTAATAAACTTCTTGATGAGCTGACTGAATTCAATTTTATCTGCGTCTCCGAAAAACGCTCTTGCAATGTGTCGCCATTTCTTTCTCGCCACAAGTGTGCTTTGTTCTGCACAGCGTATGCTTAAAGTGTCACGATCGGGGTTTCGAAGCGTATATACTCCCCGTAAGTGCCCTTAACGTGCCTGCTATGCGCATGTATAAATTTGGTAAACCAAAGTCAGAAAAAGAAGGACAATTCACACCGTTTTAAAATGTGTCTAACGAAATTACTCTCTCATTTCTAACCATCAAAGTTGCAAGTTTGAGCCGTTGTATGGTCAAAAGGGACGAATTAACGTGTATTACTTTGATACATCATAGTCAGCCCTGCTGTGTAATCGATTTCTAAGGTACTTCAATTTCTGACCTCATGTGTATGCACCAGAAGTTCATGATGTAATTTAAGCGTGAATGTGTTAGTCTAGCGGTGGCGTTTGCGATGTTGGGCACCTTTACGCGCAATTAAAACTCTTGGTTGAAGTTAAAAAGAATTCTTATAGTTGATGCTCGCTCGGCCATTTGAAGACTGCGGTATTAATTCTTTCATATTATTAGAAGTACGGCATAGCAGTAATCTCTTTGAAAAAGTTAGTAAAAGTGTAGTAACTGCAATGCTTATTACCTTTATTGGAGCATTATTAACCTTTTGCAACCTGTTTACTGCCTACGTTAGTAAGCAGTTACTAGCTGCAACCATTGCTAACATTTTTTAGCTCTTTACTGCCTAGTTCAGTAAACAGTTAGTAACTGCATGGAATGAAACAGGAAGTAACTGAAGCCGTTACTAATTTTTTTGCACCATTACTACCTTTTTGCTACCCGGCGATGAACTATGGAATGGAATGAAAAAACTTTATTTCAGTCCTGCAGGACGCGCTTAGCGCGTAGCGGGCGTCTCCCACGTAGGGATCGACAGGGTGTACCGGGTGGCCGCTTCGTGGGCCTGCTGGACGGCCCATTGCTGGTCGGGGAGAAGTGAGCTCCTGAGAGACCTCTCCCACTTGCTTGAGGTAGAGTCGGGAGGAGTTGTTCTACCCTCCCAGAGCATGTGTGCAAGTGTCGCTGTGTGTCCACATGATGGGCTTGTGTCGCTGGCATATGCATCGGGATAATAAACGTGAAGCGTGGCAAGGTTTGGGCACGTGTGTGTCTGTAATAGGCGTAGGGTTAATGCCTGCGGTCTGTTAAGTTTGGGATGTGGGGGCGGAAAATGCGGCGTACCAGGTAAAAGTGCTTTGTTATGTCATTGTACGTAATGGGTGCATCCCGATTGGTACCTAACTCAGCAAGATGGGGTTGCCCTATGGCGGTGTGGTCGGTAAGTGCGCGCGCTGCATCATGGGCGATCTCGTTAAAGTTAGATAGGGCACCCGGCACCTGGCCTGTCGTCCGAAATAATAAGTAGTACATATTCTAATAATTTATGAGAGAAACCCTCTCAGCGTATCATCTTTAAGTAGAAATAATGACACCATGGATATCTACGGATATAAAAATTATATATATTTTTTCAATTACGCAAGCGAGTTATGTAAGCGTCATTCTTCTATTATCAAAACGCCGAAGTACAAGTTAACGGACCATAAGCAAGTGCTGCGCGCGTTGTAATAGGTAGTTAGAACAAACTCACAAGGCGGATCAAAATTAACCAGATGGTCAAAATTAATCCGGAGTCTCTGACTATACCTCATGTCTCCTAATATTGTTAAGACTTCGACACAAAAAACCTCAGAAACTATTATTACTTTCTAAACGCCAATATATTAGCGCAGTGAAATATTCAATTGCACTGAGGCGATGTTAGTGAGTTCAGTACCTTGTTTTGGAGGATTTAGAGAATGTTTGCTTGCAAATAAACATGAATATATCATTTTTTATAAGTACGATTACGGTTGTATAAAAGTTTTGTGGTACCCTCCCAAACACACATAATCAAGTAGCATGATATAAAGCTATAGGCATGAATTTTTATAATTCATCCTGAAACAAAAGTGCTCACTTGTGCCAGACATGCATCTTAAAATAGGGGGTATATATACTGCGCAAGGCGTGTACTTAGTACAGTAGTGTAGTGTACTTGTTACGGCTAAGTACTTTTCGCGTTCACGACGTACCACGCAAGATTACGCGAAGGTGTGTATAAGACACTAATTAACCATTATTAACAATAGAGAAATAACGTTACAAAATAAGCACAGTAGTACCGGTTACTAATTTTTTCTTAAAACTTCAAAAGTTACTACCTATGGTTAGTAACGGCTGGGCTAGTAACAGTTACTAAAGCTGTTAGTAACGGCAAAGGTAATAACTGTTACCACCCTCGCTGTTACTAACTGCACTTACTACCAGGGTTGAAACATGTGACAAACCATTGCTACCCCAATGTCAGCAAGTAATACTACCTTTTTTTAAAGAGTTTATAAATACAGGGGGGCGGAGATCAGAAGTTCCTTAGCCACCATCTCATATATTTCTATGCAAGTGTGGCCTGGAAACTTTTGATCAGGACTGTACGTTTTACACAACAAAGAAAGCATGAAGTTACTTTTTCCGTTCTATTAGTTAAACTGGCTATAAAACGATATTCTGGTATTAGCAATGCTCTATATGCGGCGCAGTGAACACTTTAACAGCTGCGTTAAAAGCCCCGCCGCGGTGGTCTAATGGCTAAGGTACTCGGCTGCTGACCCGCAGGTCCCAGGTTCGAATCTCGGTAGCGGCGGCTGTGTTTCTGATGAAGGCGGAAATGTTGTAGGCCCGTGTGCTCAGATTTGGGTGCACGTTAAAGAACCCCAGGTGGTTGAAACTTCCGTAGCCCTCCACTACGGCGTCTCTCATAATCATATGGTGGTTTTGGGACGTTAAACCCGGCATATCAAACAAGCTGCGTTAAAAGAACTGTTTATCACTCGAAAAACTTTTTCGAATCGTGGCGCAATGAGAAATTTGTTCATCACAGTGGCAGCCACGAGCTTGCTTTCGCCCTTTAAAAAAGACTTAATTTTAACTTGATGTTGAAAGTCGACAAAAAATTACCGCTATAGCGTCACTCAACAGAGATGTGGTCAATCAACTAGCAGGTCAAGAAATCCTCACAGGTAGCCTTAATTTGCCCCAAAACACAGATATGTAGCTTGAAATTGTATTTAAAGCACTTCATGCAGCTTTAGGTGGCGTCTGAGACTAATTTTTGCATTTTATTATCTCGCGCGTTCAAAGAGGCGCCTGGTGGCACTACAAGTGGTGTGTTCACTTGCCTGCATGCCTGCCTCCAAACGTCGGTGAAACGCAAGCACGGGGTCTGCCGCCGCTCATAAAAAATAACAAAAAAGTGTGTGCGTGCCTAAACAGCCAATAAGACATTAGTTTTATCATTAAACAAAACTCCATAAAGCCTGCGAAAACCACACGCGGTTTCAGTTTTCGACTTCCACCCATCAGTACAATTGTCACCACCTCCACCGACCAGTACTGCGGGCATTCCTCCCACCGATGGAAGGAGACTGAACACAGATCGAAAAATTCTGTTTTAAAAATTTCTAAACACTTTCCAGAGAAACCACTGCAAGGTTAGACTCTACAAATGATACGCTTCTTATTGCGACACAAAACAGAAAAGCAGAGAAGGACGGTAGACAGTCCCTTCAAAGTTTTCAATATTTACCAATTCTGATTGAAATAATACATCTCGTGCTTCACGCAATCCAATGAGCGTAGGCTATAAGTAAACTTTAAAAAACTATTTTTTCAAGCTGGATCTGTTTTTACTAACAGTGCAACCTAGAAGTAGTTACAGCGTAACTACGGAAGCAATAAACAAGGATAGAGAAGAGCGCTACCTTTCAACAATAATTTGATAGTAGGGTGGTGTACATATTTAGAGGAAAAAAGAGAATGGGCGTACGTAGAAGGCTGCCGCTAACCACTGCGATACAATGTCAGCAAAACTCTTGTATTTTGTTGATTAGGCTGGAAACAAGTACACAGCTTAAAAAGGATCAAGACGCGCTATCTCTTTTTGCAACAGCGCAATGAATGGGGAACTTACACATGTACCGTAAAACTTACTTGTGTCACAGGCTTCAATTATCTTACGCGTAGCCTGCGAGTGGTGCTTGCCTATTACCTCGCAACGCTCAAAGAGGGGCACGCAGCCACTGTCACCACGGCAGTGGGTTCCCAGGAGTCCTTGAACCGCATTGTGCGCATTATTAGTATGCTCTCTTGAACGGTCATTTAAGCACCTTCTGGTTTTTCCTATTATATCTTGCCGCATGATAGTGGAAGAAGATATAAGACACCAATAGCACAAGGAACAAGGCACGTTCTGTGTTTCTCAAAGCATATTACTCTGCAGATGGATGGGCGTAAGCTTCACAAACTTACAAAGCTTTGATGGCTTTTCCGGGAGGGAGGGGGGGGGGGATTCCACAGTGATACCAGCGCGTTGCGATTTTTTTTTCAGCCTAGGCAGAACGTTGCGCACATAAAGCATCGCACCACAGCTCTAATAGGAACTGACGCATTTTGAGGCTGAGACTGCCCTGCTTTGTGTTTTATTTCTTTCAAAAGCTTCTTCGCAACAGCAGAAATCAGGGCGTTCGAGACACCAGCGCTTAATTGGCGCTTGATCTGGGCTTTGAAACTGCGTTTCATCGAGTGCGGGCATGACTTCCTAGGTTGCGCAGTGTTCGCATATTCAGTTATGTCGTACCAGCTTTCCCAATTTTCTACACTGGATCTTTCCACTGCTCTGCAGTAAAATGTGGGTTCTTTTAATATTGCCGATGCTTTCCACTATCCTGCTAAACACCATCTTGCAGCGATGGTTTGGTGATGACCTACTCCAGGTATTGCAGCAGCGGCGACATTTTCAATAAAGTCACTTAATTCCTTTTTATCCAAGTACATACCTCCTCTTCCCGTAATGCAGGCAAACACAATCCAGGCCAGCCCCAGGGCCCAGGCGACGCGGTGCGTGGTGGCATAGGCGAGGGTCACCTCCAGAGTAGGCAAGTCCCCCATGCTCCACGGAGCAGCGGCAAAAAGCGATGCTCCGATGAACAGTAGAGACAACGCCCAGAGGACTAACTGCAGCAGCTGCGAGAAGGTGCAGTGGTGGTAGGTTACCTATTCGTCGACTCACAGGTAGAAAATGGGCGTCTACTCGAAGTTTTTCCGATGTCGTGCAGTGTTGTTAATGAGAGTGCCATCTAAATAATGGAAGATAATAAATACTGGCACACAGCCGAATTATTTTAATCCATTTCAGTTACCCCTAATCGTCTACAAAGCTTTAAGATTTTTTGTCTGTGGAAAGAAAGCTGTTTGCTTTGTGTAATTATTGGTTTCAGGCTGTTATATCTCGCTGTGTAACGCACTTTCTTTTGCAAGATATAGCTAAGGTGCTTCGTTTGATTCCGCATAAGTTAATTTTACACAAAGCGGCCAGTTTAACATTAGATACAACGTCGTCCACTGGAATAAATGCTTCAAAAGCGCAGAAGCTGGCAGTCATGATGAATAACGCCTCAGTACCGAATCACGATATTGTACAGGAAGATTATACAGGGCGTGTGCTTACTTTAGGCTGCGTTTATTATGAAAAATAGCGCAAAAAGAAAACCGCCAATAGTATGAATGCAGCCAGCGTCCAGCACTTTCGTAGCAAGTATTTATTGAATGGGTGAAGGTGTCTCGCCAGCTGACGACATCGCTTTGGAATTAAGGGGACCCCAAAAGAAAAAGAGAATGGTGTCTTGAAGAATGTGCGATCAACTTGAGCAACGTTTGCATTACTTCTCCTCACGTGTCTTCACTTCCTAACAACAGAACGTTCAATGCGGAAGCGTCACCTTCGGCTTGTGATCTATTGATAGTGCATGCTCAAGTTCATAAAAAAATCACAGCATATCCACGGGGTGAATGATGACGAGTGGGCAAACCTCCGGAAAGAATCGTCGGTAAAACCGTGAATCTTCCGTGTGTAATTCGCCCAGTCGATCATCGTGTAAAGACATCATAAGAAACCCTGTATGTGTATATGTAGAAAGCCACTTTTATTTTTTCTTTGAGACAATGGATGGATGGCGATGTCTCTCCATATTGACGGCTTTATGGTCCGTAAAATGAAGGGTGAGTGGTTCCTGCATAGGTTGCAGTGGAAATTTTGCAAATACAAGGTCAATGCATGCTCCTTGGATCGTGGTTGGTTTCATATGTTCATACGATATACGTGTGAGTGCATATCTAAAAGCCAAATGTTGGATAAGCCAACTATTGCTCTTGTCTGCGATTTCAACGTTGAAATCTCTAACGAGTATGAACGGGACATCCTTGTATTATGCTTAAATCCTATTACATACAAGCATCACCAACTACAACTACCACCATCTAGTTCCACATACAAGTACCACCATCGGTGGCACATACCTGCTCTAGAGCGGGTATGGGCCACCGGTGGCTACGTACATCACCAACAACAAACTGCGTGGGATGTACAGACCCACGGCCTAAGGAGCTTCGCCACTAAAAGAAGAATTTTCGATTACTCGAAGCCTGGTAGTGTTGCCGAATGCGTCGATTCCTTGTCGAAGGGTATCACTAGCCCCTTCAGGAGTTAGCGGGTTGTTCATGGCGCCATTGTTGTTTTATCTCATGAGTTCAGTATCCTCGTGTCTTGTAAACGGTTCTTATTGATCGATGAGATAAACAATGTTCTCTGTAAAGGGAGGATTGGTGGTGCTTCTGAGTTTTGTCCAAAATAGGTAACAAACCAAAACAAGTCAGAGCCATTGCTCTTGGTTTGACTATAAATGAAAATTTAGACAAATGAGCAGACCGGGTGAAGGTATAAAGGTTTCCCTTTTAATGCGTTTTTTAAGAAAGTATACAGCGTATGTTTCGCAATATTGCGTAGAAGAATTATATCACAGCATATATCGAGTTTCGTTCGAACTCAGCTTGAAGCGTAAGTTATGATGATAAGTATAGTTTAACGGCCCAAAACCAGCATATGATTATGAGAGACGCCGTAGTGGAGGGCTCCGGAAATTTCGACCATTTTGGGTTCCTTAAGGTGCACCCTAATCTGAGCACACGGCCCTACAACATTTCCGCCTCCATCGGAAATGCAGCCGCTGCAGCTGGGATTTGATCCCACGACCTACGAGTAGGCAGCCGAGTACCTTAGCCACTACACCACCGTGGTGGGGCAAGCGTTAAGTTAATACGACCCTGTTGGGGTTATACTTCGCTCAAGAAGTGTTCTCTATTTCTTGATAAATGTGGATAACGTGCAATGCCCGCCTGTCATTAAAATCGAGAATTCGATGAAACCTCGTCTGGTTGAATTGAAACATGATGAAAAAAGAAGGTATAGACCTACCAAATAAAAGTTTTAAAGAAAAAAAATGTTGCGGCTTCCGTACGGAAGCCTTTATCACAATGAGGCCATACGATTAGAAGTGCCTCTTAAGTTGGCTTCAGCATGTGACCTCAATAGGCTTCAGCACATGTCCTTGCGTCACGCGCTGAAGCCTACTTAAGGGACACTCTAGTCGTTCGGCCTCATTGTGATTACGCAAGCCACAAAGTCTTCTTTCAAGCTTTCATTTGGTTTTGTGCTCTTTTACATCAAGCCTTTCATTACAGATGTTGAGCCTTTGCACGACGCGATGTGCCAACACGTTCTGATATGGTGCTTGAAGCATGCTACGTGTGATCCTATAAAGATGATACAGCTCACCTCTCTTCTGTTTTGTCTGTCTGCTTGGCCATTGTTTCTTTTTTCGTAATGCGCTATACCCAGTTACCAACTCGCGCAGTCTACAATAATTGCCGCTCTGTTGTTTTATTTGAAGGTTTTAAGCAGTGATAATGTGTTACCGCTGTTCCACCTTACCTTTTCTGGCAGGGCAAGATCCTTGCAGGTGACATTCGGAATTGTGCGTATCCGCAACGGCACAAATTTTCTAGTGGCATTTACTGAAGTAGAGTTCACAGAGCATTTCAAGAACAATCGTGATGCCCTGCCAGCGGAAGTGAGCGTCATGGATACCATAACCAAGTGTTTTTCAACAGCGATGATTTCAACCGCCACTTTTTAAATATTGTGGGGCTATACCGAGTACAAAGACATGGGCTACATTTTAAAAAAGTTCCACAGACAAGATTCAGCGCCTGTAGATGTTAGGATAACATTCGATGGGTTTCGTACCAGAGTGTTCTTATTAACCCACAGCTTAATTTTTAAAAAATTAGGAATGGCGTTACGCGAAGCAAACCTAGTAAACTGTGTTCCCAATATACTGGACTAGCCACCACTATTTTTTTTGTTAACCGGACTGAAATAATAAGCTATATTCATAGTTGTAACTCTACCAGTATTCACGTAATTATCAGTGTCATTAAAGAGTGTGTAGACATGTTCAAATGACATTTACTTGTCATTTCTAACGTGCTAACTACGCCATAAATTTTTCCGGTTTTGCGTGGTAAATTTTCTGGCTCTGAGTGCACAGTATTAAACTTTTCCGGAACACCATGATTAGACACATATGTCTCTAGTGTGAAGTGTACAGCCTAATCATGGAGTTCGAGACACAAACAGATACTTCCTTTGATCCTGCTTTGTCACGCTTTTACGAAATTTATTGTCTTCACTTTTATAAATACGTATCTGTTCAATAAAAAATATTCACATTTTGTAGGTTTTCGGTGCTGAAACCAATGAAGCACGGTGCAATGAAGGGCTCCATACATTTAGACTTCTTGGTGTTCTTTAACGTGCACAGATATCACTCAGCACATGGTCCGCTAGCTTTTCGCCTCAATCAAAAATGTCATCGCTTGGGTTGAGATAGAGCCCGCGGCTTTTAAATCACCAGCCGAGCACCCTAATCACTACAGCAACGTGACTAGCAATAGCGAAATTCCTGTGTGAGCGCAGGTGCTCTCTTCCGCCCATTATCTTTGCGCATGTTCAGCGTGCTTAAAGCTACTAGTAATCTATAATGAACATTTTGCCAGGCGACTCTGAAGCTTGTAACAATATATTATATATATATATATATATATATATATATATATATATATATATATATATATATATATATATATATATATATATATATATATATATATATATATATATAGGTGTGTGTGTGTGTGTGTGTGTGTGTGTTTGTGTGTGTTAACTTTATATATAAGAAGAGACTATAAGTCTATATTTCAAAAGTATTTCTTACCACAGGAATCTTGGATTCTCGGTAACGCTCGTAGGCAAAGGCCGTAAGCGCACCAATGAAGTACGGGCCGACGTGTGTATGCGGCAGCAGGTACACCCAGCGGTTCATTATGAGAGCGAACCTGCGCACATTTAAACTTATCAAATATTCCTACATAACATACATAACAGCCAAAATGAAGGCAAGTGACAAAAAAATTTAAACAGGAATTGGGAGTACGGCAGATGACACTGACACACCCGAGGTGCTAACCCTCGATTGGTGAAAGTTATTGAGAGGTAAAATTGTGGCACAGCAAAAAAAAATATACAGGAATATTTGCTGCAAACACAAAAATTTCCCTATTCCCTCTCTTAGATAAGAGCACTGCATGTGCGGCAGGTGCACGCAGGTGATGCGGAAAAATTGTGCACATACATGATAAAGGTGCATTTTGATTGAGCGACTTAAAGCTACGAGCTTCCCTGGCTCGTTATTGACAGCAGTCTCCAAAGCGCTTTTTACGGAAAGCAAAGCAAAAATGCACTAGAGTAATCACCGGGAATCATGAAGACACTTGAGTTGTAAGACCAGTCGTGATTACTTACATTATAGCTTGAAAATTGTTGCAGGCTGGTACAGAGTACCAATCGCCTTTTCCACGCACGTTAAGCTCTCTCAGCTATGCCCAAGAATTGAGCCGGAAGAGGCTAGTCAGATATCACAACAAACTTGGCACCACACACGGGATATGTGCCAAAAGCGTGGTGTATGAAACTCCCCTTTCTTATGGAATATCACGCATTGGGCTAAGGAACGCTGCGCAAATGAGCGAGCCTGGGAGCATGAACAAAATCTAGCGAGAGATGGCTTGGCGCATATGCCAATGCGCCGTAAAACCTAAAAGTGTCAGCCACATTTTAAAGAGATGAAAATTTCAGGCAGAAAAATGTCTCAGACTGCACATGATGTAATGGAAGCGAATACCATATAAAAAAGGAACAAGTTATATCGGTGGTACCTCTGTTGCATTGTACGTATCGGACAAGAGATCGCTTCATCACTGGACAGGATCCATTTTCATTCGATGGCGCATGTGCGTTGTCTGCTTATTTTTGTGTTAACGTCCATAACAATGCAGTTGGGAGTGCCGCTCGTCCCATTGTCGTGTTTCTCACTTCTGCATGTGTTTCAATTCACGGCAAAGTTACCTCTTTAAGGGACGAACCTGCTTGCAAATTGAAAATGATATCCTGTTAAAAGTATCACTCACTGGAATCTTCTACCATATCGGAAGCTGTGGAGAAGGATAAATCTTTTTTTTTTGTTTTCAAGTTTGTCGCAGCTCCTCTGCTGTAACCTTTTCGGTCTAAGCGAGGAAATGTCTGAATAACGAAGGCAAACACAAGCAAGCCGGATGAAGAATACTGTTGTACGGGCGGAAGGCACCGCCGCTACACTCTTTCCTTCTTTCTTTTCGTTTTTTTTAATGTGGCTCGATTTCCTGGCACTCGGTGCGGTAAGAGGTTTCCGAAATTTTCCTGAAGAAACCGCTATGCGTTCTTCCGTAAGCGACCCGAAATGGGGCCGCTCGGGCTATTCTTGCTTCAAAGTGTTTCCATAAAACACCTCAGTGGTGACGTACTCGTTCTAGACGTCGTGACATGCCCCATCATGAAAGGACACGGTGTCTTTCACCGTGAGGTTGGCATGTTCTGCAAGGAGGCCATTTCTGTGCCAATTTTAGAGGGAGGCATCGACTTGTTTCGCACCATACTGATATATTAGGTTGTTAATGGTGCGTGAAGCTCTTCAGGAATACTTATCACTACGTAGAGCAATATATCAAAAGTAACGTACTCATTAGAAAAAAAAGGTACGTGTGCGGTGGAAGCATGACGTACAACTGTGAATTGGGTCCTCGCTTAAACAATGTGTTTTTTTTTCAGTAGTGATTATGTGGACACTCACGACAGGTTTGTGAAATAGTTGTCACTTTAACCGCCATTTTCGTCTAACAAATACGAATTCATAGCTCCCCGCGTATTGTATGTTCAACCATCGAGTAAAAGCTCGCGAGCGCTGGAGGCGAACGCGGCTAGCATGTGGGCCACGTTCGTATGCTTCAGTGCATGCAGTTTTTATTAAAGTTGCAGTGCATGGTAATTTATGGCATACCCGTATTTTAGAAGCCGGGAGTGTTACACTTAACTTGATATACATGTCATGGAATTTTAAGGGTGATGTCGAAACTGACGGTGCCCGATACGAAGGAAACTTGACCTCTTTCTATACCGTAATGCCGGAACTACACGTGACAAGGAAGTGGCGACATTCAAAATAAGACGCCCGAGGCAGACTCTTTGCTTTCGAAAATCGGCAAGCATTCTTAACTTCACTAGTAGCCCCGCCGCGGTGGTCTAGTGGCTAAGGTACTCGGCTGCTGACCCGCAAATCGCGGGATCGAATCCCGGCAGCGGCGGCTGCATTTCTGATGGAGGCGGAAACGTTTTAGGCCTGTGTGCTCAGATTTGGGTGCACGTTAAAGAACCCCAGGTGGTCTAAGTCTCAGGAGCCCTCCGCTACGGCGACTCATAATGATATGGTGGTATTGGGGCGTTAAACCCCACATATCTATCAATCAAACTTCACTAGTAGATATAGCTCAGTGTTTAGTTGTGGTGTCTGGTGCTTATCAGTGTCTTTGATAAGCTATGGATGACCTGCATTGACGTCATTGAAAGCGGCATGTTGGTGAACCTCGTGGTATACGCAAGGTTTGTGACGTCATGCGCTAAAGTTGTCGTTATATCACTCGCAAAGTTTTTTTTTAGGGGCGAAGCTCCTTAAGGCATGGGCTGTGCGTCCCCTGTATGTAGCCACCTCTAGTTTAGTTCTTGCAGTGTTCACTAGATGGCGGTACCGTCTCCTGTATGTAGCCACCTCTCGTTTAGTTCTTGTAGTGTTTACTAGATGGCGGTACTTGTAGCTGCGGTACTGTAGCTGGAGGGAGGGAGGGAGCAAACCAGCAGCCGTGACTCACGCTAGTCACCTAGTCAGCAGCCAGGTGCAGGTTTCAGAAGGAACGTCTGAACAGGTCATCATCGCCGGTGACTCAAATTTAGTCCGATGCGCAGCGGCAATCAAAGAAAGGGTGAAAGGCGACAAGAGAGTTGCGATAGGGACGTTCCCAGGACAAACGCTGGGGACAGTAATGAGTCAAGCGGGTGAACAACTCGCAGCTAAAGCTAACAATCGTAACCTCGTTGTAATTGCGGGAGGGTTAAATGACGTCCTGAAAAAAGAATCGTCAGGACTAGCGACGACCTTGGCGAAAGGGGTGGATGACATGCGCGCCGTGTCCCCCCAGGTGCAAATTGTAGTATGCACAGTACCGGAAGTACCAGTACGCAACGTCAACCTGCAAAGAGCGGTTTGTCGACGCAAACAAAGAGATATGGCGAATTAGTCGAGAGAAGGGTTTCGAGGTAGTGGATTTAAACAGGGAAGTGCACAGGTGGGGTGGATTCCAAAGAGACAAGATTCATTTCGATAAGAGGCTTGGACACGAGGTGGGCTGGCGACTGGCAGGACGCGCAGTAGCTTTTTTGGGGGGCTCACGGGCCCTTCGGAGTCCGGGGTAGCTCGTAACAGGGAAAACAACCAGGAGGACGCTTTGACAGGTAGAATTGCGAAAAACCAGAAAAAAGGTAAAAGAAAAAGGAAAAAGGCGCGTGTTGCAATTAGTTACATAAACATGCAGGGTGGCAGAAAGAAGGCAAAATGGTTAGAGATTGAGGAGCAGTTAAACAAAGAACAGATAGGCGTGTATGCGGTTACAGAAAAAAACCTTAGAGACTTGGAAGAGCCACCACATATTGAAAATTATGTTTGGGAAGGGTGTAACAGGACCATATCGGAAAGGAAAGGTGGGGGTGTAGGAATGCTAATTCATCGCGGAGCCAAATGGGTTAGAGTGAAACAGACGTGTTCAGAGCACCTCTGGGTTCTGGGCACAGTAGGTGGAAAGGAAACGTGGCTAGGGGTAGCCTACTTGTGGACGGGGAATAACTGCAGAGAAAAGAATAAGGAGATAGTGGATTGCATGAGTGCGGATATTAAGGAATTTGGTAATGGGGCCGAAATCATCCTTCTAGGGGACATGAATGCCCACATACATGACCTTGACGGATATTCAGACACCAATGGGAAGTTATTACTAGATCTTTGCGAGCAACATAGTCTGGAGATAGTTAACACGGTGCCTAAATGTGACGGCCAGATCACATGGGAAGTCGGAAACAAGCAATGAAGTATTGATTATTGTCTCATGACTGAAGGAATTTACCACAAACTGACAGAAATGAGGATAGACGAGGAAGGCATTAACAGCTTGGGTAGTGATCATAAACGAATAACATTACAAATGGATACGAAACTGAAAATATGAGCATGGAATCAAAGTCTGGCAGCTCGTATTTAAATGACAAACAAATAATAAATATAGCCGCAAGAGTCGAGGAAGAAGTAGGCGAAATACCAGGCAGGACTGGGGGTATAGTGAGCTGTTACATCTAATGACGAAGGAGATAGGGAAAGAGAAGAAAACTGTTTGCTGGAAAGGAAAAAGGAAGCCAAAAAGTTGGTGGAACAAGGAAATCCGGGAGGCGATTGAGAAGCGACGCGAAGCATCACGGGAGCATAGAAAGGCAAAAAAGGAGAAGCGGCCGCAGGACGAAGTCAAAAAAGTATGGGAAATAGTTTAGAGAAAAATCCCTTGTACAGAAATGTAGAGGCAAAAATTAAAGGTGAAAGTGAACGCTGGATGACAGAGATACACGAAAAAAAGGAGGGCCGCGCCTAGGATTTTTTGGAGCCACATAAAGACGCTAGGTAGGAAGTCTGTCACAACGCAACAACATATTCTAGATGAAGGAGGAAATCATTGAAGGGTACGAAGCGCTAGGTTACATCCAAAAGGTAACAGCCGATTCGTTTCAAAAGAGCGTCCAGGGGATCTCCCCGGTGAGTAAAAGTGTGGCGGAGAAAGCAACAGAGGAAGAGCTAGTACTGATAATTTCAACTGGAAAAAGGCCGAAGGAAAAATTCCAAAGCGCACTGCCGCGGGTTTAGATGGGATTC